GATAATTTTGACCCATACAATTTATTGTTGGCTATTGCTACAAATATACTTGTGCTACTTATGACTGGTTTTGTGCTCCAGGGTCACAAATAATTTATGAAGACGGTTGAGTCCACATTCGCACATTCTACAATTGTGGTACTTTTAATTAGTAAATAGTGATGTACGTTTCGTGAACAAATCTTTCTCGGAGTCGAATTTTTTTAGTGAACCTGTTAACAAGCCAGAGGTCCTTACGAGTCGAACTGAATCGATCCGAGCAATTATGAACTACTACTAACTACTAAACAACAACTCGCCGGATTATTGAACCGAGAGTCGTCTGTTCCGAACAGATATGCAAAAGTTACAAATTCCAAATGTGCTGGAAATACGATTGAGTAATAACAAATTAAACATTTTCAATCAAATCAAACTTTTTTTTTGTTAGTGTTGTTGTTGGTAGTTAAAAATAAACAATTTGCGTTTAGGTATTGCGTTCATGAGGGCATTTTTATCCATTTAAAATGGTGTATTATCAGCATCTTTTTAATTAATTCTTACAATGTTGTATTGTTTATATTATGTCAAATTCTAGGTAAGATTTTCAGTGCCTTTTTTTGCGCAATCGTTTATTTAATTTCTGACTATGGTAACATTTACTCTCTCGTCAGGATCATGATAGTGTAACTCATCATTCAGCAATTAAATATGATTTTCTTAAAATTAATGATAGATCACAGAAGCATACCATCGATTAACATCCTCAAACCTCTTTATACAGTACACTAAAATCAGTTTCTATGGTCCTCTGCTCTGTTTGCGCTCTATGCGTTTGTCATGGTGCTGTTACTTCATGTGGGCTGTAGATGATGCATGCATGAGTCTGGCTCTGGACCTGCACTCTCTGCCAACAAACCCAAAATGTGCTGCAGTCAGTGTTAGTTAATGATGCCTCGAAGAAGTATTTCACTAAATACAGCAGTGCAGTTGTAGTACATGATTCCTTCTGCTTTAACTTTGTCTTTAATCCAGTAGCTATATATATTATATATAGTATATATTATTGTCCAGACAAATGTTGACCTCAGTCTGTTGTCTCTTATTCAGGTGGTGCTTTCCTCACTACTGTAGCCACAGCAGGTATGATTGCAGGGTTCGGTTGCACCCTTGCCATGGCTAAGAAGAAGAGTCCCGAGTGGTTCAATAAGGTATCAAGCTTTTCTGCAATACATCACTGACATTTAGTACTAACATGCATCAACTACACACTGAAAATCAATGGTGGTCTTTTGGAATTTCGTGAAAATAAGGATTTAAATGCCATATAAGTGAAGAAATTACAACAACTGTTGTAAAATAATTTTGGTAACACTTTACTTAAAGTCTTTATGTATAATGCAAGGGTTATTAAATGGTGTAATGCATTATAAGGTGCATTACAAGGCATAATTAATGCATTAAAACTACTTTTATAATGCATTGCACATAAAGGCTTTAAGTAAAGTGTTACCATAATTTTTTTTAGTATTATTATTTTTTCTATCATCAAAAGTTTTTTTTTTTTCAGTCTCATTTAGTGTGTTATATTAGTCCTCGTAGTCCTAAAGTATTTTGAAAATGTGGCGTCATAGTGCTCCTCTGCTTACAGAAATCGTTCTCTTCTTTCTCGGAAGCTGTTTTTGCTCTGGTTATTCATCTAATCAGTAGAGCATGGCAGGCTGAGGTCTGCTAACTTCACAGAATTAGACATTGCGTAAATGCTGACAACGATTCCATTTTATGACTTGTTTTGAACATAAACTCAGAAATTAACAGAGGCCTCTTTGTTTTTGTTTTTTTTGCATTGCTATTTTTAGACCACTATCTCACATCAGTAAACACATGTCTTGCCAAAAATGCTTTTTAAGTGGCTAAATCCAATATGAGGTCAGTGACGCGACGGATCATATGTCTTGCCCGGTTCCTTTAATGACAAATCACTTGACTAGTTATTGACTAGTAACTAGACCTGTTATGTCCTCAGGGCAGTGTCACTGTGGCACAGTATCAGCTTGTCCTGCAGAGTTTGTGATATGGACATGAATGATCTCTCAAAATGTGTAGCTTGTTGAGGATATATGTGATGTTATTTTTTCCTCTAAGTGATTAGACTTAGGCAGAAAGATTTTGCCAGGCAGACAGAAATCTCCCATAATTGATGGAGGGACTCAAGTCATATATAGAGGTGTAGGAATATAATACAAATTTGAGGGTGGGCAGAGCAGCGTTTTTTTTAGGACTTTGCTTTTTTTTTTTAATCATCTGAAACGTGCTGCTGCTTATATTCTAAAGCAACTTAACAGTAGTTTGGTTCTCTTTAAAATAATTTGGCATTTATAATTAATGCTGTTTGTAATGAATCCCAGATTTATGTTTGTTTTATACCTACACTATATTTTTATATCTGTTGAATACCGTTGCATTTAAATAATTTGTTGTGGAGCTAAAATGTTTATATTTTTTTTTTTAATGTTTGTAAATGTTTTGCAATGTTTACCGGTATTTTACTTCATTTCAGAATATAATTAAATGCATACCTGTATATGATACTTGTACACCAGTGCAAGTTTATCTGCTTGTTTTTTTTTTTTCGTCTGAAGAATCAGATTTTTTATAACCTTTTATATTTTGGAGGGGGAATATTAAGTGTGGTTGCAGATGTGTTCAATGCTTTTTACTCCTGAAATCTGAGAAAAAAAATGGGGTTTTGTGAAGTCAAGATTAATTCAAAATTGACCCCATTTACTTTTTAATGCTGGTTTGGTTGTGAAAATTTAAACGGTGTCTGTTATTGCAGCAAAAAAAAAAAAAAGCATTATGATATACTTTAATAGCTTGTAAGCGTAAGCATACTGAACAAAATACTTTAGTAAAATACGAGATCTGCAGTAAATGACCCTCTTTTTCTTTTGATGTGTTCAGGGTGTGATAGGAACTGCTGCGGTGCCAGAAAGCGGCGCGGCGTTAGCATTGCGGGCGTTGGGATGGGGTTCACTTTACGTCTGGTGTGGAGTTGGTCTCCTGAGCTTCACCGTTTGGAAGGCCCTGGGTATCCACAGCGTACGTACCTGCTTAAAGTGATGCTTTTAAATGCCATGTGCCCACTTTATCTATTTCTCACTATAATCTGCATCTACTGTTTGATATATATAATTCCTCTATGGCAGCTGAAGGAATTTCGTCAGAAAATGCAGTCCATTTTTCCCGCCATCCCCAAAAATGAAGAGGCTCAGGAGAATTCTGCTCCATTTGACTGGAATTCCATCTTCGAGTCAAAATGAGAAGAATTTACAATCTATTATTAAAAACGGACAGCCTTAACTTAACTGAAATATTTTTCAGATAGTCAGCTTGGTCAAGTGTGAGCCAAAATCGGCCATTTTAGATCAAGCAACAAGTATCAAGTTTATGGTCACAGCACTGGAGAATGCCTCATTGAAGGCCGGAAAGATTCAACTTGGTTGTCTGCCTTAACTTCTTGTGCCACACTGGAATTTACAAGGCCTGAGCCAAGAGACTTTGACTTTGAAAAGGGACTGAGGACAAACACATGTGCCCTGCAGTGATTAAAGAAAAGCTGCAGAACGACAGCCCTCAATGTTAGTGTTTTCTGTGCATTGAGAGTCATGTAATCTGGTTAAACTGTATATGTGACAAGCAGCACAGAGCACTGGGTAGACAGGAAAAAAATGCACCAATCATCCTTAACTTGCTTTTAAATAATACAATATTGAGGATATACATGGTTCGGTAACTTTTTTGGCCACTCTTGACAAAAAAATACAAAAATAACACAACACTGAAAAACAACGTTCACAGTGCTCGACCAAATTTCATGTACATTTACTTTTAGCATGTGGAACATGTATAAAGACTTTATACTGAATAAACAATGGTCATCAAATCATATGGAGCAAAAAGAGCTTACATAAAGAGTTGTACATATTTTCTGTTAAAATCATTTTGGGGTAACTTTCACATTGAATTACATTTATGCCATCGGACGTCTTTCAGTTAGCCTGTATTTTCCAAAATCTAAGGCCATTAGCGGGAGCCATTGCTATCTCTGTCACACCGAACTCCATTATAGGACACACAGGAAAGTCTTTGGGGAGCGTTCACACAGGACAAATGCTTGCATTAAAAACGGGGGAACTGAACAGGTGTGTTTATGCGTTCCCATATACAGTTGCTAATATACATGCTCGATCCACTGGAGATGCTTTTCCAGCACCCGAATTCACCTGACTGGGCCACTGTTGTAAAACCGACATGTTTTCTGCAGTGCAGCGTTTCAAAATATGCATTTCAACTTCAACGGCATCTTAGAAACCAAAAACAGCAAGGTGCATCACAACCACCGAATAATATCTGTTGTGCACGTATGACCAACAATTAAATAAAAATAGCGCAGATCAAATGCAAGAACCCACCCTGTGTGAACGGCCCCTTACACGTTTCAAGACTATCCTCACCTGAAAACAATGACTTAATATTTATTTGCAAAATGCCAATAGCATGTAGCATAAACTACTCACTTTGTATAATACCACATCTCTTGGAGGAAAAAAAAAAATGTGAAAAGGGGCCCATTTAATGTACAGTTCCTATATACAAATCGACCCGTGGATATAGAATAGAGAAGAGGGGTAACCGAAGCACTTTGAGTTCGCCGTCAGAGAGAGGACCCTCTGTGGCTGCACTAATATGGCAGCAAGTCAGTTTAGAACCAACACTCGCTTGACCCTCAGATACTGGTGTGGTGAAACAGTGCACAATACTGGTGGTCAGATCAGAACATTGCCTGTGGTCATTCACATTTCATTATCTCCCCTCTGAGCCAGCTAAATCTATTGCACAATGCTTTTTTTCAGAGCTGTATACATGTCTTAAAATCAGTTTTTTTTTTTTTTTGTTCTTTTATCGCAGCACATTTCAAGAGAAATTCTATCTACAACATGTCTCACAATTTAAATAAATTTGCATTCCCCGAATAAACAAAGTCCCACAAGAAAACAAACGAAACACTGCATCAAAACAATTAAAAACATTCTGAGAGCAAAATACTCTAAAAACTAACGGTATCAGATGCCAACTTTGGTTAAAACAAACGAAAGAAAATACACAGATGAAACAAAACGAAACAAATAAAAAAAACAAAAAGACCCAAGTATTAAATATCCGTATTAAAATCATTTAAAAATCCAAAATGAAAACTGGGAAATGGGGCAGAGGAGCTATATATATTCTCTATATATTCATTTGTATGTAAAAACGATTGTGTTCTTTTCCTTAAATAAAAATATAACACCGACAGTTCTGTGTGATCTCTGTGGCTCAGCTTAGCCGTACTGTACGTTCCCATGATGGCACTCTAGGCTCCCGCTCCTTTGTGCCTGTCACGAGCGGCCGAGCTTAAACAGTACCTCACACAGGATGGCCGCCACGCCAGAGTTCAGCATGGAGGACAGCGAGATATCAAGAAGCCTGCTCTCGTAGAGCACAAACTCAGGCCTGTTCTCCTCCACCTGGGCCATGGCCAGCAGGGCTTTGACGGCCCGGCACATCATGTTGATGCTGGGTGGCTCGGGATGGGTGGGGTGTCCCATGTGCAAGAGACTGTGAGGGCTCTGCTGATACTGTGCCATGGAAACGCTGTCCTCTAGGAAGCTTATCAAGGCTCCCACGCTGCCCTTCTGCAGGGCAACGGCTCGGGCAGCTGTGGGGTCGCCCTGTGCAAGATTGGAGAGAATGGCTACGGCCATCTCGCGGCACACCTGACTCTTTCGCTCACCGACGTGCCGCACTAATGTGGCAAAGAAGCGCTCCTGTCTGCTAAAAGGAGGCGTGGCCAGCAGAAGGTCAACGTTAGAGTCTTGGATGCTCAGTTTGCACAGACACTCCAGCACCAGCCTCTGCGGTGTGAGTGAGGAGAAGCCATTTGCCGTGCAAAAGGGGTCCTGGGCCTCCGCCGAAGGGCACACCATCCAGTGGAGCAGCCCGTCCAGAATTGGAAGGCAGATACTTTCCGGATAGATAGACAGGTCTAGCTGTCCTGAAATGTTGGCAAGGGTGACCAAGGTGTTCTCACGCAAGGCACCAAGGCAGTCCCACCACCATTCGTCCTTGCTGCAAGCCAGACCTCGCTCTTCCTCTCGCTGGTAGGTCGGCAGCATCCTTTTCCTTTTAGGGTGCTCATGATGCAGAAGCACAAGTTTTCCGAGAATGAGCACTAAACCTGGGTGCTGAGCCAATTCGCTGTCATTGGCCGGGACGAAGGAGAGTCCACGAATGATATTGGACACACAGATGCAGCGCTTGGCCAACTCATCCTGCCAGCCCTCGGCGACTGAAAGAGGTGCTTCATCCCAGCATCGGGGCTCATCCTCCAGCAAAGTAATGCTGCTCTGGTTCTCTCTGTTGCGGAAGGGGAATGATGTCTGGGTTTCACCTCCTGATAAGGACCCTGGACGAGAACGTAGCATGTCATCCACAGTGGCTGTCAAGTTCTCCTCTGAGGGCCCTGGAAGCTCTCTTTTCAGTTCCTCTTCCCTCCCGTGCTCCTCTTCAACCGTTTCTTGTCCTGGTGCCTGTGAACCTTCCTGATTCTCTAAGAGCTTCTGTTTTGCTTCTTCTTCCCTACGTTTCTCGAAATGGGTCTGGATATGGGCAGTGGAGTCCCCTCCGCCTGCCTTCCAATGCAGAAGCCCGCTGGTGAACTCCCCGGCCAGGCCTAGCAGCTCTGATCGATCCTCCACACAATCAGCCACAGCCTCTCTCTCCTCAACTTTCACTGGGAGTTTGTCATACTTGCTGGCTTGCTTGGGTCTGGGCTCCACTGGAGGACATGGTTCTTTAGCAGTGTCGGCCTTACCCTCGGGAGAGTCTTCCCTTTTCTCCATATTGAGTGCTGCTGCTGAGCTGCTTGGCTGAGGTTTCTCAGGCTCCACATCTAATCTCCCCACATGTTCTGTACTGGATTGTCTTTTTAAGTCTTGTTTGGAAGGTTGCTCTGTTTCTGAGGGCTCCGAACATGGACCAAGAAGAGTTTTCTGACCCTCTGTTCCAACTTCATATTCTTCAAGGATCCCAAAGATCTCTATTAAGCACCTTCTGAAATATTCCACAATGAGCTCCAAGAAACCGGGCATCTTGAAAAGGAAAAGACACAAAACCCAATACAATCATTATCAAAGTATATACACCTATCATTTCTTAGAAACTGTTATTTAATACGACCAAAAAATTGCAACAGCAATAAGACTTTTGCATTAATTTCCTAACCTCTGAACCCAAGCCTTACAGCCAATTAGTGCCTGGTACACACTTACCTGAGACAGGCCAAAGGAAGACACTGTGTTGTCATCATAAAGCAGGATGTTTATAGTATCCAGGGCCCATGTGCTCTCAGCAAGCAAACCAGACTTCAGGGACATCATCACACGCCAAGCCTCTGGTGTGCCTTAAGATACATAAGCATGGTTATAACCTTGTCATAACCATACTATTCAAAAGTTATTACTGGAAGAGAGTTTCTTACCAATTTCTTTGGATGTTAACCTTCGGCGAGGTTTAAGCTGAGGCTGCGTAGCTTCCACAGAGTCCAGTGGGTAAGTGACTTCCCGATGGATTGTCGGGAAGCCTTGCCCAGGAAGACCACTATGAGAGCTTGGCATCGACCCTGGGCCACCCGGCTTTTGCATCTGTTTCATAGAGGCCATCATATGAGCCTTATTGGGTGACATAGAGCCACCCACAGACCGAGGGAATGGTGCAGGGCTTGGGACTCGAGAGATATGGTTTGGCATCGCTGGAGGAGATTGATAGGAAGAAGGTGGTTGCCGGCTAGCCATGGGGGGCATGGAGCTGGAAGAGGACAAAGAGTGTGGTGGGTAGGGGGATTGACGCTGACCAGGCCACTGACTGTCCTGACTAGCCCTGATTTCTGGATCATCTCCACGGCTCATGGAGGGGTAGGGGACCCCATGAGCCTGCCGGCTGGGGTAAGGGTAACTCATGTCGTGCCTGGTGTGCCACATGTTCCCTTGAGGACCACCGCTGGAGTTGGAGGATGGGGGTGGTCCACCACTCATCATGCTGTGCTGAGGAGGTCCCTGCCCACCTGGCTGCATGCGATCACGGCCATATGTATAGGGGAATGGACTTTGCATGGGTCTGTGCTCTGGGTAACCATATTGACTATACATGTCAGGCTGCTGGCCACCGTACTGCAAACCATAGGCTTCACTCTCATGGCGCTTAGTAGGAGGGCCATACATCCCTTCCCCAGGCCGCTTATAACCCTGTAAAAATAAATAAATAAAGTGTCTAAAGTTAAAAATACAGTGGTAAACACAAATATTTACCACAATATTATCACAAAAGGGATGATATTTGATCACATTTGATGACTGACCTGCTGTTGGGGATACATCCCATGTGCGCCATATGGCATACTGTGAGGGTACTGCTGCCCATAGCCGTCATGTCCATGTCTATAGTAAAACAGAAATTACTATACTCTAGCTCCACACACCAAATACATTCATATACACTAGTCAACTGCAATCACTTTATACCTCTGATGAGAGGCGTATCTATTGCCTGAGAACATGCTGGGATCACTATTGGAAGGCACCATGTTGTTCTGATTTCCAGGGGGAGCAATTCCCCCCTCTGGACCCATGACATGGTCTGGCCTGTGAACATAAACATTAAATAATGATGCAATGCTGATTTTGATTTCTGCATTGTTTTTTTTCCAGTTCATGAACTGATGTTAAAGTGTTCTGGCCTACCTCCTCTCAAAACCAGGGTTGTAGGGGTACTGGGGTCGTGGGCCCATACCCATCCCTGAGGGCGGTCCACGTGGATACATATCCTGCATGCCACTACCTGGCATCTGCCCTGGCATGAAGGGCTCAGAGCCACCTGAAAACAAATTAACACTTTAAACTGCACGGAAAAAAAAATATGCAGAACTAAAAACAACATGAAAGATTATTCACAAACATTGTAACATATTTTATATTTCTTTGAAATATTCTTTGAATATTCAACATTTTGGGCATAATTTTTTATCCATTGGGTATTTTTTAAATCGTGAAAAGAGGTTGTTCCATATCAGAATGGAGCTAGACCTTTATCCCAGTTTGTAGTTGATTGCAGTGTTATTATTGTTACCAAAAAAAAAAAAAATTTTTTTTGTTGTAAACTGAAATAAAAATGAAATCTAACACAGATGGGAAAATGAAGCTGAACTACTGAACTATTTCCATGCCTTCATTACAAACTTTGAAAATGAATCTTTATTTGTGTAAAAAAAAAAAATAAAAAAAAAAATGACGATACGTAATTTGTAATTTTGTCTGCTTTGCCCGTGAAATTAGTCATAGCCCACAGCTCAGCAGGGACATGCGTTTATGGCATGAATTAAAGACATGCAGTGTCTAAAATAAATGTGGACAGTTCAGCTGAATGATGAAGTTTACTATGACTGTATACTTTGCACAATATTAACAAACTGTACACTGAAACAAAATAACCAGAACAACAAAAACTGATAGAGCTCGTGGTTTATCTGTCAATCAGATGCGCTCTCGGCCACTGATCTATGCTCGTGACGTTTTCTTTTATAATTATCATTGGCTGATAGAAATACCAAAAAAAAAAGTATTTTAGATGGTAATAAGATCAAGACCCTCGATGACATCATGATCTATTCTGTCGTGCAGCGCTCAAAATTGTGGACAAGCCAGTTCCACCGTAGAATAACCTCTGAATCGTTTTTTTTTTTAACTGATTCATTAAAACTATCTATCCGAATCAGGAAACTAATCAGACTTCTAATCACTTTTAGCGAGCATGAGGGAGGCGAATGGTAATATAAAAATATAAAATAAAATCTTTTATCTCACAACTCTCGTAATTACGGCTTTTAGCGAGCATGAGGGAGGTGAATGGTGCTTCTCAAACGGAAGGGTGCATCCTAAAATTCAGATGATCAGTACCGACTCGTTCCCTCTCGAGCTTTCACGAGACATCACTGAGACATTTCTCCGTTATGGGAACTCCTTCCCTTCCCACCTTTCCTGAAGTCCTGTTGGCTCACGCCAGTCCAAATGACTGGCCAATTGTCGCGAAGTATGCAAATTGCATGCAAATACTGACACGCTCACGAGACATCACGGAGACATTTCTCCGTTATGGGAACTCCTTCCCTTCCAACCTTTCCTGAAGTCCTATTGGCTCACGCCAGTCCAAATGACTGGCCAATTGTCGTGAAGTATGCAAATCGCATGCAAATACTGACACGCTCGAGAGGCAGTATAAAATGCGGTGCATGCGACAATTACGTCAGAATCTTCTCCTTCACTTTGCTGAATAACCTAAGAATATGGCTTATAAACTATTACAGCTCACATAAGGTTCGAACGCTCATCAGAGGGCGGTGCCTGGATTGCCGCTCCTCTGCAGCATTCAGGTGAGTATGACATTTTTCTTCAGATGCCAGATGAGTCCGTCTGCCCTCTATCAGTGGTGGACCATAAGGACTCTGGTGATGAGTTCATGCCGACAAAATGTCCGCATTCCTCTCACCCATCGAACCTGCAGGACATCAGCCCGGCTTCTCACGTCCCCCTTCCATGGCGGAGCGGAGAGCCGAGTGCAGATACTGGAGCTAAGGGTTCTCATGTCGCCGCAGATGCCGCACGACCCACTGTCTAAAAAGTGTGCAGCTCCCCGCCTGGGAGCGCCGTTCTGCCATGTGCAAAGCACAATCACTGGCTCCTCACTCGTTCACACGATACCAGCCCCTCATCAGCGGTTGCCGTGTTTGGAAGACACTGCTCTCTTATTCACACGAAACCAGCCCCTCATCAGCGGCTGCCGTGTTTGGAAGACACTGCTCTCTCATTCACATGATACCAGCCCCACATCAGCGGCTGCCGTGTGTAGAGGACTCCGCTCTCTCACTCATTCAGGGCGATATGCAGCCCCCGCTTCAGTGCGGCAACAAGCGCTTCAGTTGCTTACCCACTCACCAGCAGTAAAGCGGCAAGGAGTCACCTGATGCCCCTGCTTGGAAAAGCGCGCAAAGGCGAGGAGTCGCCTGATGCCCCTGCTTGGAAAGGCGTGCGAAGGCAAGGAGTCACCTGATGCGACTGTGCGGAAAAGCGCACGAAGGCGAGGAGTCACCTGATGCCTCTGCGTGGAAAAGCGCGAAGGCGAGGAGTCACCTGATGCCCAGGCGTGCGTCTTATCAGCCTTCCAGATTTCGCTGGACTATTACGTCAGTTGTTCATGCCCCTACGAAGTGGTGTTCAACTAGGTCGTATAGCCATTCACAGTCTGTAGTGACAGGCGCAGATGCCGCCGCCCACACCGGTTAAAATGCGCGCCATGCAAGCAATGAGCCTCGTTATGCCGAGGCGCGCTTTCCAGCAGGAGACCGCGAGATCGAGGTCTTTGGCGGATGGCTCATCGCAGTGCAGGGACACCAGGCCCACGACCGCTGCTGCCAGGAGCCGGATGTGCGGAGAAAAGTGTAAAGGGGAAGAGGCACCACGGCAAGCAGAGGAGCCCGCGCCGTGACTCCCGCCCACCGTCAGCTGCCAAGCCGTCGTCCTGACAGCCCGGAGAGGAGGGAAGAGTAGCCTACGCGATCGGCCCAGCCCCCAAGCTGTCTCAAAATTGTTCAAATTTGTGTTTGATGTGTGTGTGTGTGATCATTAAAAAATGCATACATGTGCACAAAAGAGCTCTTTCCTCCTCACTCAGTCAATGTAGCGCCGCTCGCCCCGCCTCAGAGCGGTGCATCGCCGCTGCTCACACATGTTATAGCCGCGCAGCACTCTCCGGCGCATCCAACGACCAAGCCGCTAAAGCCGCTATGTCAGTCCCTGAGCGCGTGGAAAACTATTCCGGGAATCTCGCGCTGGTTACTCGGTGTGATAGAGCGTGGGTACGCCCTTGAATTCAGATGCAGACCACCCGGTTTCAACGGCGTGGTGAAGTCTCTAACATTGCCTCGAAATGCCCTGGTTCTGAGACAAGAGGGTATGCAACCTGCTCGAAAAAGGAGCGGTAGAACGAGTCCCTCCGAGTGAGCTAGAGGGCGGATTTTACAACCACCATTTTATGGTGCCCAAGAGAGATGCAGGACTCTGCCCGATTCTAGATCTCAGGCCCAACAGAGCGCTCTGCAAGCGTGCGTTCAGGATGATAAAACAGATCCTGGTGCGAATTCAGCCATATATTACACACGGTTTCGTCACTTGGAGTTCTTGGGGCTATGTGTGAATGTGCGTAAGAGCATTCTCGCCCCGAGTCAGTCTATAACGTATCTGAGAGTGTGCTTCAACTCGGTGGAGATGCGTGCTCGCCTCTCTCGGGAGCGCTCGGCGGCCATTTTGTCTTCCCTGCACCATTTCAGACTGGGCAGCTCTGATCACTTGAAGTAATGTCAGAGGCTGCTGGGACTCATGGCAGCGGCATCAGTATGTCATCTGGGTTTACTACACATGCGCTTATGGAGTTATGGCTGAAATCTCGAGCCCCTTGGACGGCGTGGACTTCGGACCGTTTGCGCATCGCGGTCTCCCACGGCTGCATCGAAGCCCTGAGGCCGTGGCGCAAAGATCTCTTCAGCCGGGGAGTTCCCCTGGGCTTGATGACGTCACGTGTCGTGGTCAAAACGGACGCGTCGACTCGAGGATGGGGAAGAGTGTGCGAGGGCATGCCGGTTTCAGGGCTGTGGTCAGAACCTCAGTTCCCAGCTGGAAGGGAACGCTTTGACATCGCACTGGCCAGCAGCCAGGCCGTATGCGTTCCTCCGATCAAGATGCAGCTGGTGATATGCAAGATCAGGGAGGAGGAGGCTTCGGTGATGTCACTTTCTCTCCATCAGAGCAGCGCACATCCCCGGTCTCTGAACCGTCTGAACCGCGGGGCAGAAATGCTTTTGAGGAAGGGGATTCCTCAAGGAGAGTGGAGGCTACATCCCGAGTCGGTTCGGATGATTTGGACCTGCTACGGGAGAGCAGAGGTGGATCTGTTCGCCACGAGCAAGAATGCGCACTGCCCGCTGTTCTTCTCCCTGTCTCATTCCCAGCTGGAAGGGAACGCTTTGACATCGCACTGGCCAGCAGCCAGGCCGTATGCGTTCCTCCGATCAAGATAATGCAGCTGGTGATATGCAAGATCAGGGAGGAGGAGGCTTCTCAGTCCTTAGCCTCCCAAGTGCTGCCGGTGAGTGACTGATTCACGCTTATGCTACCTCTATTCATATGTGTTTGCTGCCTCGCACAGTAATTACTCTGCGCAGCCCTATATGCTATTGTTACTGTTGTTACCCTGTACTCAGTGCAGCTCCTGCTATTCAATGCCTAATTCGATTGGTGTACCATCATCATCTTATGTGTTATACTGCTGCTTAACACCGTTATCTCTGTGCAGCCCCCCCTCACAATACTGGTTGTTGTTGCTTCTGCCCTGTTTCTCAGTGCAGTATACGTTATCACTGACCAGATATGCAAATTTCGTATACCTGGGCTTTAGACGCTCATTGGCTTGTCTCCACCTATAACAATGTTTTATCAAAACTGGTCAAATATCGAAGCTAGAATCTTTAATCTTTCTACTGATGCACAGTTTGTCCAGATCAAGTAAGAGTGTGATGTTTAACGTGCTGTTAAAGTGAAACAACAATAATCTGGGTCCGTCGCCGATCTTTGACCGCTAAGGGGTTAAATTAATAATGTATTAATGTTAGTCTTAAAATACAAAAATTTAAATAAATATACTAAAAAACTGAAATTGACTAAAATAACTAATAGTGAAAAGAAATGTAAAAAAAAAAAAGCAGCAATAAAAACTAAATTAAATATTACAAATTTAATCCAGCTCAATCTTGGAGGTTATACAAATTTTGACCTATGAATCAGGTCATATTTATTCAAGCCCCGCTCCGATGAGAATCAAGATGATGACTGGGATATGCAAAAAGTCATTTCAGAGGACCAACGTATTGCATTTTAATTTAAAATAACACATGCAAATATAATACATTTCCCTAGAATTAAGTGCACTTAATAATTCTAGCAACATGCATTATAAAGACAGTAAACTAGGCTAATTTTGATTTCATGCTGGCTTCAACCTGCAGACACTAGATGGCAGCAGTGTACAAGAAAATAATTTATATGCACCTCTAAAAAAAAAAAAGGAAGACACTGGGAGGCAGCAGTGAGCAGACAGAAGAAACGTGAAACCAGCCCCATATGGTAATTGTAATAGAAACACACCTTTCCTAGCAGCTCCATAGGGATCCTTACTGGTGTCAAACTGCATTCTAGAGGTGGCATCTCCGCTGCCTCCTCCTCCATGCATGGGGCCTCGCTTTTGGAAGGCTGGGTCACTGCTTTCAGAGAACGGATCTTGCACACTAACACCACTGTTTCTAAAGATGTGGGGTAAAACAAGGACAACAAATTAATACATACACACACATACATGAGTAACGAACACTAAAATATAATGCATCTTCTATATAATATAATGCAAGCCCACCTGCCAGTTGGCTGAGGGGTCACTTGTCCGTGGGGTGTGGTAGCTGGTGTAGGCGGCTTTAGGTCCCCTGGCATCTCTGTCATAGTGCTGCTGCCTGTAGATTGAGGAGTCTGCGGCCCTTGAAGAGAGCCTGAGTTTGCTGTTGAACAGAGCAGAAACGGAGTACATTATATGAAGGAATTACTATATGCAAAAAAATGAGGATTAACTTCTGGGGTGAAAAGTAAGGCTTAGAAAAAAAACATTTAGCATTTTGATGCTTTCTTAATGTTGCAATAATGCAATAAATTCATATACAGATTTTTTATTTAATTTAATTCATTGAATAGTAAATTGAGATGCACTGAAAATATTTGTAACTGCTTTGCAATTCCCTAAATCAAAACCGATTCTTAGTGATACAATGAACTGCATATTGCCTCAATTTAAATAATGTAAAAGCCTCATTAAAACATATAAAACAGCTTGTGTAATATTTTTAAATATATACCCTTTTTAAAAAGAAATAATATTCTGATTCTGCTTAAATGGTGTTTTATACATCTACAAGCAAACGACAATGTCCTAATCACTTCTTGCAAGCTCGAGGGAAAGAAACCTAAATCTTACAATCCCCAGACTGCATTTCCATAATCCAATAACATTTGAATACACTAGTTATTAATTTCCATAGAAATGCAATGGTATAAAAGGACACCAATCCTAATAACGTCTGAAATTTCTACGGCTCAGTTGATGCAAAGTAATAAAACCAATTTGCATTTTCCTCCGCAGCTCAGAGCAGTAAAAGGTACTTCAAACGATTTCAGCGCTGGGAACAAAAAGAATCGGGGCAGGATGAAAGAACGAGGGAGTGAAAGAGTGTCTGCTTTACATGTCCTTGATCTGCTGCCAGCCACAAAATCGTCTTTCAGCACTGAAAGTAAACAATACACGGTGCTATGCTGTAATACTTCCAGTCTGTGTGACCGCCAATGACCTTACGCATATTTAGAGAGCCGGAGAGGGCGGTAGAGAGAGAAAGTGCTGGCTCACTGGTCTGCATTGAGCGAGGGGTCAGGCTGAGGTCACTTTTGTTTTTATCCCGCACTCCTCCCCCATTAATCTTCTCGGAGGGAATCCCTCCCCTGCTGTTTGACAGCTCTCTCTCTCTTTTCCTGTGACATCATTAGCCTTAGGAAGAGGGGGACGGGAATCCTTAAGCCAGCAGCCTGACAGCTCTCTTCCTCACCCCTTCCCCCCGTCCGTCTCAGTTTGACTCAATCACCTGTCAGATATTTATAGCTCTGTCTAGAGCCGCTCTGCATTCATTATAGGGCAGGCAGACCAGAGCCACATGCCGAGTGATGCAGAAAAAATCGAAGAATGGCATAAAAATATAAATTTCCATTACTTAATTTTAGTGCTGTCAAACGATTCATCGTGATTAATCGCATCCAAAATAAACATTTTTGTTTACATAATATGTGTGCGTACTATTATGTATATATAAATACACACCCATGCATGTATATATTTTGAAAATATTTACCTGTATTTACATGCATATATGTTTATTCATATAATTTATATTATTTATAAATATATTTAATATGACACATTTTTCTTAAATATATACATGCATGTGGGTGTATTTATATATACATAATAAATATTCACAGTACACACACATATATTATGTAAACAAAAACTTTTATTTTGAATGCGCGGGCTTGCGGCAACCACATGTGACTACCCCGGGCTGGACTCCGCTTCGTCCACGGTGAAAGCCGATCCGGCGATCGACAGCGCAAAGTTGATGTATTTCCTCAGTGACCAGCATGGATCAGCTCTAGGCATGATGAAGCGGATATCGTCCTCTTTTGTTTTCATTGTTAGTTCATGTCAATCCAGTGCATTCATTACCTAATGTTAACAAGCACAACTTTTGATATTAATAATGCATTAGTAAATGTTAAAATTAACATTTAACTAAGATTAATAAATGCTGTAGAATTATTGTTCATTCTTAGTTCATGTTAACTAAAGTAGTTAACTAATTAACCTTATTGTAATGTGTTACCACATTTTCAAAGACTGGGGGAGCTCTGTATGATATTCTGTTCAAGAAAACAGCTCAGGTCTGTGAATGTAAGTTTATAGGATTTTTTCCTTGTTTTGTTGTTCGTAATAGTTATAATCGAAAAATTGTCCTCAACAACCATGCAATTTGATGTATCACATTAAAAAGTTTGTCAACGTTCAATACTAAAGCTAAAATAAAGTTGATTTCAGGGTGCTACAAGAATAAACTGTTATAAAACAAATAGTTCTGGTCCTTGATTATGATTGGCTGAACCATGTTCAAGCCTCTGTGAAATACTCTCTAAACACACACCTGTGACCTAATTACATCAGTTAATCATCAATATATTTTTGTTGCTGTGTGTTTACTTAAATGAAACTTTGCCAAATATATAAAAGCAATTAACCCACTAAACCAGTGCTTTTACTATGATTTTGGGACAACTAAGGGGCTTTTAGCTCTGCTCTGTGTCATGCTTAGCTACTTTAAAATCACTGTAAACTATGACTTATTGGGCTTTATCGCTTTAGTACATAAAACATGAAGCCTAGCTAACAGTGATTTGATGGATATAAGCCGTCTTTCTAAAGTCTAACAGTTTGTTCTCTCCATAGCAATCCTGTAAAGTTCTTCACCAGGTGAGGGTGGCTGGATCTTGGCCTGCTGTGGCTGCTTCTTGCTGTCTCCCATGGTGAACGCATCGGGTGGGGGTTCCTCTCCGCGCTCCACCTTGCACTCGTAGGTGAACAGGTATTGGATGTACTGCTTCTTGAGGGAACTGGCAGAGCTGCTGGATGTCCCCACATTCAGGTGGGTGGACAGCTCTCTCCATTTCTTGTTCTTATTTACCTGTTCGAGGAGAGATTTTCAATCAAAAGCATTTAGGATGCAATCAATTCACTAATCAGTTCCGCCATCTAACCCTGTGACTGATTCATGTGCCTCCAGCAGTTTAACTTAACCAGGCGCTATATGCATCCTAAAATCAATTATTTTTTGGATAAACATGAGACTCATTATAGAATGCGCAGGATCCACAAAACATCATCGCTGTTAGCCAGACATAATTAGCATTGCGCTATTACCGCCCACAGAACGCTGGTGGTAAACAAAAGCTTTATTTAAAGTAGGGGTCTTTAACAGGGGTCTGCAGAAACTTCTACTTATTATTTGATCTCTTTGAAACATATTTTTTGCTAAAAAAAATACATTCAAAAGCTTTAATCTTAAAGCTAAAGAAGCTAAAGTTTAGCTAAATGTTTCACTGCCCCCTAAATTAAAATGTAACAGTAAATAGTACATTTAAAATTTAAAAGATTGGTTAATGCTTTTGTCAGTTAAACATCATAAATTATATAAATGAGTGACGCACAGATCCAGAAATCGCTTACTCTGCCTTTAATGTGTGTAAAAATTCAATTTAACAGCAAAAATACAGAGGAAATGAGCATTAAATATTCAAAATCAGCCAATTTGTGCATCAATATAAATATGTTATGTGGTCACATTTTATTTTAATGTGTCCTTGTCACAATGTAATTAAATAAATACTGAGTAATATTGTACTAATTTTGTACTAAGTACTAATTAACATGTACTTACTATTTCATTGAAAATGGGTAACACTTTATTGTAACAAGGTGTCCTTTTTACATGTTACATGTACTTACTATTATAATAACAATAAATTATGCATAATAGAGATTAGCCAAACCCTAACCATATAATAAGTAGATGTAGTTACTTAATATTACTCAGTACTTAAATGTATAATTACATTGTAACAAGGACACCTTAAAATAAAGTGTAACACTCACAACCTGAAAAAGGTTGCAAATCCCTGATATAAAGGGAAGTTTGTGTATTTTATGAACTTGGCAGCAGTCACTGTATCCAGACCAATTTTACATTTTATTTTTTAGTGTAGAATATTCTTTCACAAACCCTGTGTGAGATCCAGGGTGCTAAAACAATGCAGAAAGCATGTGCAAATAAATAACTCCATCAGCAGGTGCAGTGCATTCTCAGTTAACCCCCCTCTGATTCTTTGATGTCTGTGATTGATGGTTGAGGCAGATATGAGAGGTTTCGCCGTTCTTTAACATGCATTTCAAAGCTCTGCTCCTTTAAAAGCCCAGCACGCTCACACAGCAGTACTCTCACAGAGCCCAAAAGAGCTGCGGCAACAGCCTTTGCGGACTTCACTCACCATAGCCAAGCCTCCGATTTCTCGAACACAGAGGTAGAGGCGGCACAGATCCAGCGGCTTCTTGCCCACTGAAGGCAGGTTGGGGACAGGCGTGCCCCTCTCCTCCATGAAGGTGATGTAGCGATCCACCCATGCCCTCCTCTCCGGCTCACAGCCCATGTCGTACAGCCGTGTTATCTTCTCGTTTGTCATGTTCCCCAAAATGTGCTTCTAGAGTGGATGGGTACAGAAGAGAGTAAGATGTATCGCCACCGACACACCCCGCACGCATACTGTTAGCTCATCATTCTTTGTCCTAAGAGTAAATGCTATCCACATTGCTCAATATGTCCCATTTTGACAGCTACCCAGAAAGTACAGATTGTGATGCACTGAAACTGATTGTTTTAGACAGGCATGAGTATTTTGCTTGAACAATGCATGTATGCGATTGGTCAATGGTATATTGTGCTTAAAAGTACAAGTAAACAAGCAGGTGATTTCATTGATTTAGGATATATATACACTAGAGACAGCTCTGATGGATATAGACTTCTGAAAACACAACTTGACTCATGTTTCTGATATTCTCACTGGTTAACATGTGCCTACAACAGAGTGCATAATGACACATTTTTCTAAGGTTTTGGTTGCATGATGGAAGATCATCACAAACTCTTTTCTTCTGTCCTTGCGACGCACCATGTTCACTGAAATCAATGCATTTGCAGTGTTTGCTGGTGAAGCATAAAGTCTAGTATGTAGGCGCCATTATATTACTCCGCAAAGTAAAGTATCACTACATTAACCCCAACTCTGCCCCAGCACTGTGACTGGAACTACTATTACTGTGAACATTTTGCAAAATGCTGAGAGAAAAAACTGTGAACAGATTTCAAGGGTTAGTTCTCACAGAAATGTTACTTATGTCATCATTTACTCGCCGTCATTCACTCATCTTTGAAACACGAATAAATATATTTGTAATGAAACCTTAGAAATTTCTGTCGCTTAATTGAAAGTCATTGAAAGTGGTTTTCACGCATAAAAGCAAACACAGCTGAACTTCCGTTTACCATATATGATGTAAGTGCACTGACCTGATCAATGTTTATATGAGAATAAACGCTTATTAATTAAATCTGTTCACCATATAACATAATCATGTCTTAGATTAAACCCCTTAAATCATATGGATCACTTTTATGTTGTCTTTATAAACTTTTTTGAAGTGTTAATGTATTGGTTGAATCAACAGAGGGACAGAAATCTCTCAGGTTTAATTAAAATATCTTCCGTTTTGTTTTGAAAATGAACTAAAGTCGGTAACACTTTATTTTAAGGTGTACTTGTTACACAAGTTACATGCACTTACTATTATTATAACAATAAATTATGCATAATTACATGCAAGTAACCTTAAACCAAGCCCTAATCCTTACCCATATAGTAAGTACATGTAGTTAATTAATATTACTCGGTACTTAAATGTATAATTACACTGTAACAAGGACACCTTAAAATAAAGTGTAACCTGAATGTTTTATGGGTTTGGAATGACATGATGATGAGTAATGGATTTGTAATTTAGTAACAGAATTTTCATTTTTGGGAGAACTATCCCTTTAATACAATCAAGAGACTCAAAAGAGACACCCTTTAATGTGGATTGTACAAAGAATCCATGAAACTCCTTAAATGTTTTTTCCAGTTTTTAAGGTGGTACTAGCCAAGTAACATGTTATGCAAACTGTCTAATAATCCCTGGCTGTGCTTTGAAAAGTCAACGGCGGACAGTGTCCAGGTTGAAAGTGTTTTAACTTTACATTACGAGTCATCACATTGCTGAACATTTCTATGATTCGGAGCTTAAAGGGTTAGTTCACCCCAAAAGGAAAATTATGTCATTAATTACTCATCCTCATGTCGTTCAAAACCCGTAAGACCTTCGTTCGTCTTCGGAACACAAATTAAGATATTTTTGATGGAATCTGAGAGCTCTCTGACCCTCCCATAGACAGCAACGCAACTGATGTTCCCAGACAGAAATGTAGCAAGGAGATCGGTAAAACAGTCCATGTGACATCAGTGGCTCAACTTCAATTTTGCGAAGCTACGAGAATACTTTTTGTGCGCTAAGAAAACAAAAAGAAATGACTTTATTTATTACAACATTTCTTCTCCTCCAAATCACGTATTCTGCCATTATGGAGAGTACCCAAGAACGTAATCGGCGTTGTTTACGTTCAGGGGGAAAGCACGCGCATGAACGTAATCGGCGTAATCAGCGTTGTTTACACTTAGGGTAAAGCGTGCGTATGCGTTGTGATACTCTCCAAAATGGCGGAAGACAGTAACTCGGGGGAGAAGAATTGTTGAATAAAGTACATTACAGTTGAGGGTATGGAGGGTCAGAGAGCTCTCAGATTCCATCAAAAATATTTTAATTTGTGTTCCGAAGATGAACGAAGGTCTTACGGGTTTGGAACGACATGAGGATGAGTAATTAATGACAGAATTTTCATTTTGGGGTGAACTAACCCTTTAAATCCTCACAAAACAATAATAACTGATTTCTGGGGTGCTCTGATTGATCGGCTACCGATCACTATCGGCTGATAATCACGTTGGGATGTTTGATCGGCGGTCTCTAAAAAGGCCGATCTCAAGCTGATGACGCTGCAATGAGAGGTTTGGCACGACATGCAGCAGCACCGTCTCAGTCTCTGTCCTGCGCGGGTAAAATAAATATAATGCTGAAGGTGAGGTACTCACCTCCATATTTCTCCATTAAATAACTTATAAAGCAATTTGAAAACCTTGTGTGAGACGTAATTTCACAAACAGTGTGAGTGAATCACCGCGCGCACTTTCTCTTCCTCTCTCAAAATACGCAAATGGCTTCAAATCACTACATCACGTTTGTCTATAAGCGAGCTGTCTGCACGCTGCACAGTTGACACAGGAATTGTCACTTGCACAATCGAGGCAGTGTCACATCGTCACTTAAAGTTTATAAATTGCATTACTTTTTAATTCTTGCCAGTGTTTATCCATTCAGCGCTCGC